AATAAATAAATAAATAAATAAATAAATAAATAAATAAATAAATAAATCAATCAATCAATCAATCAATCAATCAATCAATCAATCAATCAATCAATCAATCAATCAGTTTTCCCTGACCTGAATGATTGTCTTTATGAAAGTGTGTCTGGCTAACCTGAGGGCGGACTCCCAACACAAAAGATTATCCTCTTTAAAGGGGGCTGGCATAGGTTACCATGAGAAGGTAACAGAAAATCCCATTACAGCCAGTCCAAGTGCACATGTTTTTATCTAGACCCAACTGAACACGTACAACAATCATATTCATTTTTATTAAGTATTGCATACAAACCTGTGCTTATGTAACTCACTACCGATTATATTCATGTGCTCATGGGTCATTTTCAATGACTGTTTTGTAAAATTTTCAATTCTTTTTGATCGGTTCTGAAAACATAAAATTTACAAAATTATTTCCTTTTAAGTTTAGACTGATTTCTATTTTAACTCAGGATTATGGGGAAAAAATTCATACAATTTCTGTTTATTATTTCCTCTTCAGGAAGACCAACTTGTTGGTCCTCTGATGGGTTTTCAAACTCCCAGATGCATTGTGAAAACAACAACTGTGAAATCAACCAACCAACCAGCGAACCAAGCAAGCAAGCAAGCAAGCAAGCAAGCAAGCAACCACTCTGGTGGTAATGATGCTCTTTTACAATAGTTCAGAGCCACCCTATTTGACTTTCTTTTTCGCTTTCAGAATCCTCTAAAATCAGATTCTGACAAGTCTTACCTGTCTGATCCAAATCAGTCCAATTCAGTTCCAGGTCCATCCAAAGCAGTTCTACGTCCATAACATTAGGTATAACAAGACTCACCTGTATTTTTCTATCCATCTCCTTATGAAGCTTCTGACAAATAACTCCTACACTTGACGTGTCAGCATCCCAGCCTTCCCCATCAAAAACAGAGGTGTCATTGAGGGATAAACTAGACACGTTTTCAGAAACTGAAGGAGAAAACAAGATTTTGCATTGTAACTCCTCTCTTTTGCCTTCACTTTCAAATATACAGAGTTACGTAGTGTTTCTACCAAAGTAAGCTGAGACCTAAGATGCACTTCAGAACTATTTATACATTTTATTTACAATATTTTACACTACCTTTCTCCTTAAAAAAGACTGAAGGTGCTCACATCATTAAATGACAATATGTAAAAGATGGTTGTTGTGGGTTTTCCGGGCTGTTTGGCCATGTTCTTAAGGTTTTGAAATGGAGTTTCTTCAGTTTCACTCTATATTCATCTAAAGAAACTGTCATGTATAAAGCAACATTTCCAACTAGAAAACTATCTTTTCTTCTATTACTATGTCTTTCAGAATAGACTGATACTGCTCTAATGTATTTTTCATAAAATGACAACATTTTTACTGAACACTTTTTTATTTAGAGAGACACAAAGGACAAAAAAAAAATCACAAGTTGATACTTCCTCTACAAAATTTTGCAGGGAAAATAAAAAATATTGATGTGTTATTTCATTCTTTTACCAGAAGATGGCAATGTCAGTCAGAAATACTTGACATTCCTTTGAAAATGATTGCTGGCTGCTGAAATTTCATACTCTCACATACATAATCAAAATTCTTGCCAATAAAAAGTCTTTAATTTTAAAATATATGTATCTTGTAACAACAAGGGCAGAAGATGAAGAGAACATTAGCAAGACCCCTGTAGCAAACCTTACCTTTAAGTTTTGAACTGTAACCATTTATTATGTACTTTAACAATGTGTGTCAGGGTCTGCACTCAATGTATTTTGTGATGGATTACACACAATGATATAAAATGTTAGGTTGTAGTAAAAATGTAAACATGTCTCAAGACTGTACAATGCAACGGTAACAATAAAGGCAAGATACAATTATTGGTTACTCTAATGTAAGTTTAATAGTGCCTGTGTGCAATGTTATCAAAGGACAGATCACTCATTAAGGCAAAATTGTATTTCTTCCTCGGTTGACCTTAACTCTTGAAACAATGCAAATATTTCCACCCTACCCACCTGAGACATCAGACATGCAAATATTCTAACTGACCAATTATAAAACAACACAACCTAATTGGCCATATACAGATTGAGCAAACTAGGGTTAGAATAAATAGAATTTTTCCCTCTTAAGTACACAGAGCTTGTAGGGACGTGGAATAAATGGATTGCCTAGTGAAGATCTAAAAACAGGAGCTTAATTTGAAAAGAATTTCTTCTACATGAAGATAGCCTTCTGGGAAGAATATAGTGACTGGAAGTGTGGCCAACAATTTAGGTTCCAGAGTTCTTTGCATTGAGGAGTGTCATGCTATATCATAAATTGCTTTGAAAACTCTTGCAAATTTCAAAGGAAGTTTGTCTCTAGCTCCAAATGTCAGTATTTGTGAAAAACAAAGTCAGAGCCTCCTTGAAATTATATAACCATTCTGTAGGCTACAGCCCACTCTATTTAACTTAACTGTCTTAAATTTAATTAATTAATTGTGTGCCATCAAGTCAATTCTTATTTATAGTGACCCATTTCAGAGTTTTCTAGGTAGAGAATTCTCAGAAGTGGTTCACCATTCCCTTCGTCTTGGGGCATCCTGGGACAATGCAGCTTGCCCAAGGCTACACAGGCTGGCTCTTACAGGATGCACAGTAGGGAATGGAACTTCCAACTTTGGCTCTGCAGTCAGACACTTAACACACTGAGCTATTCAGCCAGGTAAATGCCTTTAGTACAGAAGGGGAAATAACAGAGGTGGGTGTATTAAGGTAAAGGAGTGTATGTGCAACAGGAATGCACTGAGGCTTCTTGCACCATTCCCAACTTCTGCCTTTTTGACAGCAACTTTACCTCCAGCCTACCTTTAGAAGTGTTATCATCTGTTTTAAACAACTTTCTAGGAAGCAGCTTTGTTTTTGTTTCTTCTCTTCTGATTTCTTCTTCATCAGAATCACTTTCCATGTCTGCCCGGTACAACCGTTTAAAATCCGTATGTATTGTAGGTCCTTTAATAAGATAATATTTAAAGGAATATTATAAGTCACAGCAACAAAACATGGAAATGACTCATTATGCACAAATAAATCCCCAGAGGACTTGCAAAACTGTACATATAAGAGCAAGAAAAGTGCACTTGTGGTGCAGTGGTTAAACTGCTATACTGTAGTTGAAGGCTCTGCTCATGACCTGAGTTTGATCTTAAGTACCTGGCTCAAGGCTGACAGCCTTCCATCCTTCTGAGATTGGTAATTTGACAACCCAGCTCATGGGGAAGGCTGCATGATTAAATACCCTCTCCAGAGAGGGCCTTAAGCACGTTGGGGAAGTATATAAGCAGCACATTTTGTTTTCTGCAGGTTCTTGGTGTAGAAAAATTCTACAGGAGAGTGAACTTATAGCTTGCATCATGTGGCAAAGGACAGAAAACCCCAGTATGATACTTTTTTTTTTACAAGAAAGAGCATCCACAGATAGTGTAATAGTTTCCCCAAAGTTTCAAATAATATAAAGCGGAAGACATAAAACGTAAGATAATTTTTGTTGTATATAGTTAATTGAGGCTCTATTGCATTTAATCATTTGTTATCGAGTGAAATTTACATACCAGATTCATGTATGTAAGCTAAAGATTCTTTATGGCACAATTCTTCTCTGTTCCTATTAGGTGTGGATAACTGAGATGGAGATATAGATTCCTAAAAATAGTTAAATAATATTAACCATACTTAATGTTTATAAAATTACCAATTTAGAAGATTACTAGAAACTAGAATTTAGCAGATTACTGCATGGCCATTTAATTGATCAGAAAAATAGAAATGGAATTGTGTTTAGAATTTCAGCCTACATTTGGTATGGAATGTCTGACATATATTTTTAAAAAACTATGCTGTGCTTATACAGTTCAAAGTATGCAAAATTCTAACAGTTTAGCACAATTGAAAAGAAGTTTCAGTGCTTCTCTACAGTGGTCTTTGTATCACAGTAATCAGGACGTAGTGGCGCTGCGGGTTAAAATGCAGAAGCATTTGGAGTCATGGTATATATTCTCAAAAATCAGAGCAACATAACATTAGCAACAATCATTTGTCCCATCTCCTGCCCAACCTAGCAGTTTGAAAGCATGCAAATGAGAGTAGATAAATAGGTACCACCACGGTGGGAAGGTAACGGTGTTCCGTGTCTAGTCATGCTGGCCACGTGACCACGGAAACTGTCTTCGGACAAACACTGGGTCTACGGCTTGGAAACAGGGATGAGCACTGCCCCCTAGTGTCAGACACGACTGGACTAAATGTTAAGGGGAACCTTTACCTTTACTAATCATTCACTTGTTTGGGTTAGCTATTTCTAAAATGAAATAAGAAATCTGAAAACAATTATGTACTGTATTTAAAATTTGGAGTCATGGTATATATTCTCAAAAATCAGAGCAACATAACATTAGCAACAACAATTTTTTTAACAAACCTCAATAACTGCAAGCCTATATTCTTTGAAAGTATTCTTTCAAAAAGGCTAAAACGGTCTCAGCTAACATGTACCTCTCTTGCTTTTTTCACCAGACCTTCCGAAAAATCTTTCTCTTCTATATCAGATGATCTGCTTAAAGAGCAAATTTTTATGCTCCCTGCTTCACTGGGATAATATATTTTCTCCTGAAGTTTGGAAACCTCTTCATTTTGGACACTGGGAACTTTTTTTCTCATAGTAAAAGGACTAAGGTTGGTCTATATAAAGAAAGAAAACATCAGTAAAATGACTAGAAGGATAAATATACATGCATATTCTGCCAGATAAAGTGCTTCTATAGATTTCTGAGGCTGCAGTTCCATGCATATTTACCTGGGATACATCTACTCAACTGAGTGGAGTTTACTTGTGAGCAAACATAGGAACGACTGAACCTTGTGGTGCAGTGGTTAAACTGCTGTACTGCAGCCAAAACTGTGCTCACAACCTGGGGTTCAATCCCAGGTAGCTGGCTCAAGGTTGACTCAGCCTTCTATCCTTCCAAGGTTGGTAAAATTAGTAGCCAGCTCCGGGGTGTGTGTGTGTGTGTAGCCTGCATAATAAACCACCCAGAGAGTGCTTTAAGTGCTATGGGGCTGTATATAAGCAACACACTTTGATTTGATTTGAACACTTAAACTGTGGGGCCATAGTCTTAAACTAGTAGGGAGTAAGCCTCATTGAACTCAGGGGCCTGTGTTGTAAATTCAACTAAAAAAATTATAGCACTATCATTTCTGAGAAATTGTGTAGAGCAGGATGACCAAAATATAGCACCCCAGATGTTGCTAGAGGGCAACCCTTAATTGAAGCTCTAGCCAGCACAGCCTGCAGTGAGGAATGCTGTGATCTGTGATCTGACATCTTTAGACACACAGTTTTTGCCAAGTTACTAGGAATGTAGGCATAATTTCTTGGAAGACAGAGCCACTGAAGCCTATGGGAGTTACTTCCAAGCAAACATGCATGTGTGTGATTTCTACATCTCAAAAGAATTGAGTTTTAATGCAAAAATTAAAAATTTGCAGTGGAAATAATTGTTTAAAATACATATTGTAAAAGTGTACCAAGGAGACTGGACTTAGAACAGGAGGCAACTCTTCAGTTTCAAACACCAGCTTTCTGCCTTTTTCAGGGAGCTGCTTTAATTGAATACTCTCTCCATTAATTTTCCCTAAACCAGAAAAGGTTTTGTTGCCTGAAGATTCCACATTTTCAGGTGTTAACTCCTGAAGACAAGGTGATGAAGATGATACTCTCAATGATGTATGCTCTTCCATAGATTCTGCCTCTGCATATTTCTCACAACCTAAATAAGAAAGATTTAATTTAAAATATTGGCTATAATTTGATGTAACACTCAAGAATGGTTCAGCATTATAACTATGAGCCTATATATGTCACAGGCTTATGTTCCCCACTCTGCTAAAAGGACAGAAAGTACATGCTTCTGTTATGCATCAGCTGCAGTTTAGCATGTTCATGGAACCCTACCTTCTGATGTAGGGAGAGGACTTCTATGACATTTCACATCTGCTCTGCAACCTACTATTTGAAACCATAAGCAAGTTCAAACATGTGTATCAGTAATCTTGCCTTTCTCACAGGACGGTGATGATTTTACCAGCCGCAACGATTTTTAGTAATTAAAAACTCCTGTCCCACAGCTCCCATAGGTTTCTCATAATGAACAGGATTGCGAACTTTGGGCTGAAGGGGGGAACATTTGATTTATAAAAATTGCCTCTGCTGAAAAACATCATCAACCTTACCCAACATAAGTTATGCCAACAGGGTTTCACCCAGTGTTACCCACCATCACCACCAAGTAACTTACAAAAAAATAGTTCTGCTATCTTCTGAACTCATAGGCAAGACTGATACTAGAAGAACACCAAGCTATTTTCTCTACATCAAGAAAAGAACTCTGGGAAGTATAACTTCCTGCTAACTAGTTCACTGATTGAATTCTTTTCCTGCTGGTTCTGGTCTATTGGTACCCAGCCCCATTAGAAAGGTAGCACTGGAGCTCTACGGCACCAAACCAATGAAGTTGCTATAGTGCTCTGGTGGGATTTAATACAGTACTGGTTATCTAAAAAATACTAAGTAGTGCAAGTTTATAAATGTAAAAACCTATAAAGATGTTAATTTTAGTTATTTTGTTTACTAAACATTATCTATAATTAGAAGGTACAGCTCAAACATAAAACTTACACCTCATTTTTTCAAGATAAACTGGACTCTCAAATGAAGATGGAGGTGATAACTCTGTTTGGGTTTGTGGTTCACAACCTCTTGATTTAACTCCCCGTTTTTGTTGTTTTACCATTTTTTCTTTCTTTGTCTCAGTCAAACTCATATGCTGTTGTATCTTTGGCTGATTAACAGTGTTATGTTTTACAGGCTTATGTTCTGTCTGGAAATAAAAACACCTATCAGACACCATTAATGGACATTAACTGGACATTTTATATTAGAAGAAAAACACACAGTTACAATGGTAATTTAACTTGACGTTGCTGTTGTGGGAGTCCAACATCACTAGGGTTACAACGGCCATTTTTATTATGGTTGGCGTAAGTTTATCCTGGTGCATTCCACTTTGTCCTTCACTCTCCTATACTAATCTGCATTCTTCTGTACTAATCTGATACATTTTTCTTTTTTTATTACATTCTTCTCTTCTGCTGGAATTACGAAAGTCTTGTGCTTTTTACATGTAATGAAGATCCCCTGAACTTTTATATCTGTACTTGTCCATCCACATAGATTAGCAATGCAGAATGTGTGTCCCTCCATGGATTGGAGCTCTCATCATCCCTCATTCAGCTGATGGAAATGACAGACCAACATCTGGAGGACCACACATTTCTTACCTCTAATATGCATGGGCCACATACAAGATCTAATATAGGTGACAAGTGTTGCTAACCTACTACTGGATAGGGATGAGGATGCACAGGGGTGCCTCTTCATACCACTCCTCTCCTGTGCTTTTAGGTTCTTACAAAACAGTTATTTGTTGGAACGTCCAGAGCATGATCTTGCTGGGGAAGAAGGCAGAAGACCCATCCCTGTGCTCTTCCTTTCTCTGCACAATCAGGTTTTAAAAGCCAATAAATCATCTTACTGGCAAACTGTTGGGAAGTTAGGTATCCGAGGAATAAGACCATGCAAGGCAGACCTCACAGCTTTGCAGCACAGTCAGTTTCTCAAAAGTGTACGGTCACTGGCCTGAGTGGGAGTCCTGGACCTCAGACCAACCCATAGAAGTTGTGGGGAGGAACACTCAAAAGTAAGGTGGATTTCAGCATCACTCTCAAGTTAGTGGACCTGATGTTGTTTTTATTTACATTAACTTATCTTCCCCCACGTACCCCTAATTGAGGCAATTTATTATGTTAGCTCTAAAGTTGATGTAGTTCTAGCTCCATTTTGGGAAAATGAAACTGGAGGTAGCTTTTGGACTCTATGAATTCATGGTCTTTCTCTCCCTCAATGAGGCCTCGGAATGCCTCTTTTCTGAGTCCCCCACTAGCAGATTACTGTTCATGATACTGTAAATATTCTTCGCTATCTATGGCCTTCTCACTGCACAGCATCCTATAGCTCTCTTCACTTGTATGAGTCACAGGTTAAAATCCTATTGGGATTGCATGTTGGTGTAATGCACATGGCATAACCCTTGGAGAGAAATTGCCTCAAATTAAGAAACTGCCATAGACATTAGCTGTTGTGCGCTGAGTCATGCAACTTCATGCTAAACAGGTAATAACTCAAACCAATTCCTTTAGGCAATTCATGTCTAATACTTATGCTGTTTTCATTATGCTTGCAGGCTTTTCTGATAGGAACTTGACTACAGAGAAATGAAGAACAGAGGGTGTTAAAAGTCTGGACACAGTTTTCATTTATAACACTGAGTTTAGACACAGACTGTATTTCTCAGTGTAATACTAATTTATATTATAGCTAACAATAGCTAAGATTTGCAAATTTTGTAATTATTTGCTAAGAAACTCAGTTTTACATTAGATATATAATAGGTAAAACTGTGTTCATGTAGTTACAGTGGTGTAAACTAGAGTTGGAAGCTGGATATAATCAATGAAAACAAATTGAAAGCTTTCTATTACACACATAGCTTCCACATATCTTTCTAGTCCTGAGGCTCCCAAGTACTCCCTTTTGCACGTGTGCACGTGTGTGTGTGTGTGTGTGTATCTGTGCGTGTGCGTGCGTGCATGTGTCCCAATCCTGACAATGGTGATTTCACAGCAATTTCTGACTACTGAAAGCTCCCTCTGGCCCCTCCCTCAAATCTCCTGAAAACGGGTGGACTTAGGAAACTTTCAATTCATTATTGATTATTTCTGGCACCTGGATCTGTTTATGGTGCTATAAGTACGCAAAGAGGATTTTGTCCATTATTATTCTAGCTTAGTAAACCTTTTACCATCAGGCTCATGGTAAAGTGGAGGCAGAAATTCATTCATCAATATTTAAATTGCAAACCTGAATAGAATCTATATTTTTATAATATTACAGTAAAGTACTGTTTAAATGCTCTTTTACCATATTTTTCTTAATGAAGTCTTCTAAAGGTTCTTCTTCTTTTTCACTCTCAGTCTCTGAGTTGGAGAGTTCTTTATAACATTTTTTTGCTTGTGCTGCTCTTCTGGGTCGTTTTGATCTGGTTGGTTGTATGATTTTCTCAATATCATTGTCACTTCGTTTTTTAGAAACATGAGTCTTCAGGGAAGAAAAATGCAGACATACTGTACAAACTGTAAGCACTGTGTCAATATATTAATGAAGACTTTTCTATTTATTAAATATATCCTCACCTTCTGGCCTCCTATAGAATACACATAGCAATTTACAAAATAAAGCACGGGGATGAATTAAACACCTGATTCCTAGAAACAGTTCTGCTTGTGTAAATCAAATGCAATGTTTGGCATCAGATAATCTATATGCACTAGATTCTCACCACATACTGGGAATTTTCTTAATAAATCCAAAGTGAGCCTTAGGAGTTTGCCAAAGAGAGCTTTCAGTGAAGCTATATTTGACTTTCCACATGAGATTGCTACACCAAAGAAAGGGACAATCAATCAAAATGATAGTCAAGAACTCTACAGTTAGGTTTACATCAATCCAAAGTTTGGGGAATATGCTTTTTAAAAAGCAACTCCCAATATTAAATAGCTGACTAAATGAAATTGTCTAAATAACAAGTTTATCTGGATCATATTTTGTGTGATCAGATTTAGCCTTATTGTTTTTAACATTTCAAAGTCTTACTATACCTTATTAGTTATAGATTCCATTTTTTTAAACCTTTCCTTCATGGGTGGTGACATAGAGCTTTTATCTAAATAAATAAATAAATAAATAAATAAATAAATAAATAAATAAATAAATAAATAAATAAATAAATAAATAAATAAATAAATAAATAAATGTGACAA